AAAAAATCCAGAAAAATATATATTAAACTATAACTTATAATCTTTATTTTAATATAAAAAATAAAAATTATTTATTAATAAAATTGAAAACTTTTATATAAGACAAAAATTTTAATTTTTACTATATTTTATTAATAAAATTATATCTGTGATTTTATAATTCTATTAGTCACTATATATATAATAAATATATATTTTTATTTTTGTTTATATAAAATAAAAAAATTATATAAATATATTAATTATAATTTAATATTATATTTGATAAAAAATTAAAATTTAGATAAAAAAAATTTTTTATTAATAATAAAGTAATGTATTAATATTTTTGTATCAAATAATATCTGATTTTTACTAAATAAACAAGACATTATTTTTTTTGGATATAATTTATTAAAAATCCTAATCAGAAATATTATATTTAATAATCAGAAATCATTAGATTATTATTATATATATAATTATTTTATTGCTCTTTTTTCTAATATATATATATATATATATATATTAAGAATGATATTTTTGTTTTATTAATATTTTTATAATTTTATAAATTTTATTAATATTTTTTCTTTTTTTATATTCTTTTGTAAAAAGAATACAAAAAAATGATAAGTGAAAAAGAAAGTAAACATAACTTATATATATATATGCTTAAATTCAATAATTATAGGAAATTATAGTGAAAATTTGTCAGAGTTATACAGATCATTTGGTCAAAATTTCATAATTTTGACCAAAAAATTCATGAAGATATTAATATTTTTGTAAAATTTATGAAATATAACAAATAATTGTTATATTATAATCTTAATTCTAATCACTAAATCTTAACCATAGTAAAATTTTTATTTACAATAGCGAGATATTGTAAAAAAATTACCATGATCCTGTAATCACCATGATAATTTATCTTAAATATATATAGATCAGCGAAAATTACGATTGGCTAATTTTAACAAAACTCTAAACAGTCAAAGATAAATTATTAACGTCACATGACAGAGAGACGATTTGCATTGGCTACTTTATGTATTTTAATTCCGTAAAATATTGAAAATAAACATTCATAAATGTCATTGTATTTCACATTAACCAATAAAATTTGGATTTGTAAAAATGTTCAACCCATTTAGCACATTGTGTATGTTTTTAGAGTCGACTTTAAAGGTAAACAGACAAAGGAGAAGACTAAAATATTCACGAATTTTTATCATCAATGATGATCCAATTAGAAAAGAGAATTTTTGTGTGATGGTGAAATTGTGCTACAAAACGTGGAAACTACCATTATCATAACTACCACAACTTTACATTTTTATCCAAAGACTAACTTTTTAACTGTAGATTCTTCGATAGGGAATGGATAAATATCAGGTGAATTTCAAATCGCAGTTTTGCTGGCCTTGTGATTCTATATTAATTGACTAACCTTGAGCTTCACCTTTCTTTGTATTAAAGAAAATCGAAAAACTTGGTGAAGGTACACTCGCTCTTCTTTCCTCAAACTTTTCTAGAAGTGATTCCTTACTAATATTCTTCAATTACCTTTCAGGAACTTACGGTATTGTATATAAAGCGCAGAATAGAGAAACTAACGAGGTTGTAGCGCTAAAAAGAATAAGGCTCGACAACGAGGAAGAAGGGGTAAATCTTATCTGTTCTTTCTTGACCATTTTCTCTATCCATTAACTTAAATAACTTGAATGCTTTAAAGGTCCCCTGCACAGCAATTCGTGAAATATCCCTGCTAAAAGAATTAAAGCACCCTAATATTGTCAGGTGAATATTTTTAAACAAATGCGTGCCGTTCACCTTTACTTTTATCACTACTAAAAATCAACTTGCTTAGATTATATGACGTGCTACATACGGAAAAAAAGTTGACACTAGTATTTGAATATCTGGATTCAGATTTAAAGAAATTTTTAGATACGTATGGGGGAGATCTTGATGTGCCAACTATCAAGGTTTGTGCAATTTTGAAAAGAGATTGTATACGATTTTGAAATGTATTTAACTGGAATTTATTTTTCGATTAGCAATTAATGTACCAGCTGTTAAAAGGAATCGCGTTTTGTCACGAACATCGCGTCTTACATAGAGTACTATGCATTTATTTATTACTCTGTTTATTTTTTTTATCATTGCTGAATTTGATTTTCGAAATTAAATTTCTAGGATTTGAAACCTCAAAATTTGTTAATTAATAATAAAGTAAGTAATTAATATCGATTTGTAATATAATTATTTCATGACTGATAATAAAATAATATGCAGAAAGGTGAACTCAAATTGGCCGACTTTGGGTTAGCACGCGCTTTCGGAATCCCCGTTCGGAGTTATTCACATGAAGTAAATATTTTACGTTCAGATATAGATGATACAAATTTTATTGAAGACAACTGTTAATTTTAATGCTAGGTTGTAACATTATGGTATCGTGCACCGGATGTGTTGATGGGATCAAGACAATATTCCACCTCAATCGATGTTTGGTCGGCAGGGTGTATATTTGCAGGTAAGAAAGGGTAGATGCTAGTTTTTTTGAAAAAATTTTATTAATATTGAATTGTTTTGCTCATGGTTTATTTGTAGAAATGGCCTCTGGTAGGCCACTTTTTCCTGGAAGCTCTATCAAGGATCAATTAATTCGAATATTCAAATATCCTTTTTTAGAAATGAAAATATTATGATTGTAATTATTGAGGACCGGCATGTTATTAGTACGTCATTTTCCTTGATCACATTGAACAGTATTAGGTACACCGACAGAAGACACATGGCCTAGAGTATCACAACTACCAGAATACAAAGTAATGAGTTAATGAAAGAATTTATTCATTTGAGAAATAGAAAACTATAATAACTTATTTCTTTCCTATCTTTTAGCCTGATTTCGCGATCTATCAACGAATTCCTCTTGAGAGTCTGTTAACTAAATTAGATTCACAAGGAATAAATTTATTAAGTGTAGGTTGATTTTTTTTTCGTTGTCTATTCATAAGTTTATAATTCTTTCTGTCTTATTGATGCTATTTTTTATGGCACGTTAGCAATTGATAGAGTATCAACCGGATAAGAGAATCAGTGCTGAAGTTGCACTTCAGCATCCTTATTTCGAGGATATTCGTAAAAAGGAACAATCTCAACAATCGACATCTGTATAATTATTATATATTTTATATGTCATTTTCTCAATTTTGAACCTCTTTCTCGTCGCAGACTGTATATTATTTATATATTTTTATTTAGCTAAAGAGAATAATTTAATTAGCATATATGAGTGGTAATTCCAAAAACTTAGAAGAATCACTTGCATCATTCTTTAATTAATTCAATTCAATCCAATCCAATCCAATCCAATCAATCAATCAATCATTAATTGATCAAGTATTTAACAATGAATGTGTGTAAAATATAAGATTTCTTGGATGTACTTGAAACCTTATTTTGATATATTAAAGATCGTGGGAATTAATAAATTATTATTATTATTTCCATAAATAATTCTTATCAATGCAACCCACGTTATGTAACACTTTGTTTTAATTCCGAAAATGCCTTAAAACATTTGGTTATGTAGCACGTATTATAGTATTTTTTAGAATTTATTAATTTGTAATACAAACAATACAAATAATTTAAACTCTAATTTCGTATTATCAAGTATAATCTATGTATGAGAGATTATCCTTCAACGTTGTGCAAAAGGAAAAAGAGAGGAAATCCTTTAAAAATAAAACCTGATCATTAGCGTTAATGCCTGCATAAATACGCGTCTGTTAATTTACGAGAACGGTAAGTACCAAATAATTTCCCGTTAGCTTGTACGAAGAAATATGTTTTGTCACTCCCGGGGAAATCCAACAAAAAACGCCCCAAGATTCGGGACGTTCCCGGAACAGAAAATCCTCGAAAGAGTGCCCCAAGATTCGGATGGTTCTGGAACGGAAAATCCTCGTGATACAAATACAATAATTTACTTTACGCTTCGATGCATTCTCGCTTTGATAAACCCTAAAAAATCTCGTCTTTCTTACTATTGTTGCCTATATTGCGTTGAAACCTCTAAACAAATGTTGGAAAATCTTCAAAAAATGCTAATTTTGCGGTTGCACAACAGCCCTTGTCCCGAAACTCCTTTTTTATGTGTGCGTACGATAATTTGCCTCCTGCCCTAGTTCATGGCAAGCTCTCTGTTTCAAAGACAACCTTTTTTTTCGGGTTTCATTCGTTCTACTGAACTTGGGTTCGCCTTTCATACCCTTGATTTATTGGTTTTTCTATTGTCTGCATTTTCACATTTTACACCATATATAAGTATACCTTTACGTTATCCGTCGTCGGACGACTAGAAATTTAAGCCATAAATTTTCTACCAATTAAAAGAGTTCTTGGACGCGTACGACCTATAAAAATCTGAGGATTGTCTGTAAGTTTTCCAGTAATGAAGACTCTTTTAACAAACCCTTGCTAAAAGTATCTTGCATGGTTTTGCTTTTTCGAAATATTGTTTTCCACGTCCAACAGTAATGCAGTCAACGCCAAATTTCGTCTGGCCTCCAGAGAATAGAATTTCAACTGTGGCTTGGCAACCCGAAGCACCAGAGTATGCGCAAGGTAAGTAAACTACTCTACGGTTCTTTTCGCTTGCCTGGGTTGCTATTTCAAATTTTTTCATATCTCGTATCTATAAAAAATTTGACGGAAAAATTTTTGTGATAGGTGTAACGCCGGCTTTTCAGGGACAAGAAAAGCGAACATTTAGGCAAAATTTGAATTCCAATAATAATCATGGTGATCGTCATGTTGGACTTCAATCTACTATTCCACAACATTTTCGTAATCAAAAACCACGCCGTGATAATAATAATTTCCAAAAAATTAATAATAGTCAATATAATGCATCCAGCGTTCAAAATAATAATAATAATAATAGCAATAATACATTTGGGATGGCGGGTGCTCCCTCCGTCAATTTTTACCCTACCCAGATACAAATGAATTCTTATTCTGATCCCAATTATCACAATTCGATTGCTTGGCACAATTCCCAATATCCTCAAAATTTTCCACCTTGGCATGCCTGGAGTGAAACCAACGCTCAGGTAATTAATTACTATAAGTGAAAAACCAGTTTCTATTTGATGCTAATTTAATAGGAAATCTATTCTTATTGTAGATCCAAGAATCTATGGATTATCAATTGCCACCTGGTTATGTGCAACAACCATATGTAGCTTATCAATATCCAAGAACTCCACTTATAAATTCGACTTATGGTATTCCTCCTCAACCTACTTCATCTCCATATATTGAAGCCAGTCCTGTCCTCTATTCAAATGCGGTATGTTCCGATTATTTTCATATTTTATATATATATATATAAAGGTCTTCAACAATGCATTTTACTAATATAAACAATGAACACAGAAAAAGCCTGTTTCAACTAGTCAAAATCATACAATTGCTACAAATGGAAAAGTATCCACCTCAATTTCATCCGCCATAACCAGTCAAAAATCAAATAAACAAGATTTAAAATCCAATGCTGTAAATCATGACGCGAAAAAGCAACCAGATAATTCCAAGCTGTTTTCTAATCGAGAAACAAAAAAGCGTTTATTGATCAAACCCATTACAACCCCTTTATCTAACGAGATTGTATCACCAAATCGTCCATTCTTTAATGATGGTCAAAAATTATTTAGCCAAAAAAAAATTGGTGCTGCAATTGAAATTAAACTCGGAACTAGATTGGATAGGTTAAGACCAGGACTAACAACATTCACAACAGCAAGTAGTAATAAGGCTATCACGAAATCTGAAAAAAATAGTCAACAAGAGATTCCAGAGCCTAAAAAGGTGCATAACGTTGATGGATTTTGGGTGTTTAACCTCTGTTATATATTAGATTTTGTTATTAAATACATACCTCCATTTGTAGCGCATTAGATTAGGATTGACTAACGATGACGACGACGATGATAATGAAAAAGTAGTAGTAAACAAAAAAGAAAAACAACCGTCGGAGGATAAAGAATCGACGACCAAGCAAATTACAGGTTTCAGTCAGAGTAATGTAAATATTTCTAATTCACCTCCATCCATTGAGGAAAAAAATTCCGAGATTATTGAAAAGCAATCTTTAGATCTTTTCGCATCTCCCCCTGCTAAAGAGGAAAAACGATATTCCGAAGAAGTTTTATCGGATGCTCGCCGAGATAGCGGTTTCTGTGAACTAGAGACGTGTAATGAAGATATGAAATCGATTGAGATGACAACTCAAATTGACACAAAAATTGAAGATCATCCGAATGACCTCGATAAATCAGCTTTGATCGAACCAGAACATCAAAATTCCAGCTCTTTGCGGAATCTAATTTGCGATACAAAGAGCGAGGAACCTATTGCTAATCGTGATAATATCGATTCACCTATCAAAGAATTGAATTATGAACTCTATTCTTCGACTAATTCTTTTCGCGCGAAATTCGAAATTGATAATTCCGCTGATTCGGGTATATCTAATGAGATTGCTTCTCATGATTTCGATGAACGCATTAATAACGAAATGCACCTTGAAAATAAAAAAGAAGTAAATTTTTATGGTTCCGAAAACTCAAATTCAGAACCAAGCAAGAACAATTACGAAAAAAACAATAAAAACTACTCTAATAATAATCATCTTTCAGAAGATATTTATACCGCTACCGATATCGATATCGATATGAAAGATACTATACAGCTATCCTCAAGCACAGATGAAAAACTACCAGTACCAACTGTATTCATCGAGCAAATATCAGATGAGAAAAATGATATCGTTACACAAGCGCCAGATTCCAACGAAGTAGCGACAAGAAAATCAGAACAACTCGAATCATCTTTCTCAGATTTATCTTCTGCCCTTACTTCAAGCAATATGTTAACCCGAAGAAAAATCAAAGAGCTTTCAGTGTTGTCTTACCAGTGTTACTCGATTAATCAACGAGTCATGGTACTCAATGTCGATGGCGTTTGGTATCCGGGTAAAGTTATTGCGTCGAATAAAACGGGGGTGAAAATTAGTTACGATGGCTGGGATTCAAATTATGACGAATGGGTCCTAACTGATAGTCCAAGAATGCGTGTTATGAGTGACGAAGAGATTAGACAGATTGATGAAAGGAATAATCAGGTTTCTATCGATTTCAATTCAAATTCAATTGATAAAAATTTAAATAATAATAAAAGTAACAGTAAAAATATAAAAGATAGCAAAAATTATAATAAGAATAATAATAGTTCAAAAGCTGCGAGTACAGATTTTAGTGACAAAATTACGAAGGATGAACCTGTTCCAAAATCTCGACTCAACGAGCTGGATAAATCGGAAAATATTTCCACTATTGATATAGAAATAATTGAAAAATCGGAAACCTCAAATTCAAAAGCATTATCCTCGTCCGTCGAACAAATCTTCAGTGAAGATAGTGAATTAACTGATTTGTCCGATTCTTCAAGCTCTTCATCCGATTCCGAATATAGTGATACACAATCAGATCTTTCGTTTAACAGAACTACAAAGAAGGCTGCTTCATCATACGTAAAAAAGAGAGATTCTGTCGAGTCAAAAAATAAAGCCAAAAAACCTTTGAATCGTTTAAATAGTTTATCGACTCGGCAAAATTCAAATGCTCGACAAAAACCACGCAAAATTAAAAATTGCGAGTCATGCAACACTCCTTACGATAGTCTCGAGACAGTAGGTACAGTCGAATTGTGCCAGAAATGCATCCCCCTTTTTGCACCAGAATTGGCTAGGGTTAAATCTTTCTCGCATGATTATGAACTTCATAATAGAGTTGAGGTTCTTAATTTTGATAAAGTTTGGTATCCGGGCAAGGTCGTAAAAGTTGAAAAGACTAAGGTAAAAGTTCATTATGACGGATGGAGCCAAGAGTACGATGAATGGTTATGGGTAGACAGTCAGAGGTTGAGAAAGTTCGTCGAAGTTATTGAAATTGAAGAAAATAATAAAGCGCAAGAAAAACCTCAAGAGAATCAGATTAAGCAAAATTTTAATGCTGCTACTCAAAATATTAGTAAGCAACCCGCAAAGACAAAAGCGAAACAAAAAGAAATTAAAACAGAAGACGACACTAGCAATAAGCAAATTGAAACAGCATTAGTCCCTTATGTTAATATTGAGGTTATTCCATTCGATAATCTAAGTATCAGTAAACAATCAACAAGTGTAGTGGATTCAATATCTGAACCCAAAAATCGGCGAAGAACTCGTAAAGCTAAAGCCCCATCCAAAAGCTTTGGTGATACTTCTGAGACAGGATCATCTTCGAAAAGGCTTCCTCCACCTAATCCAAAAAAATGTGAATCTTGTAATATTATGCATTTAAATGTGCAAAGGGTTGGTAGCTTGGAACTTTGTTCTTACTGTCGAAGTCTCTTTGGCGAGGACACAAGTGGCCGCTCCAAACGCGGTGGCCAATACGGTTTCGAAATTTATAAACGTGTTAAAGTAATGAGTCACGATGGCGAATGGTACCCTGGTATGATGATGGACTTTCAAAATGGAAAGATTCGCGTTAATTTTGATGGTTGGAGCTCAAGTTTTGATGAATGGGTGCCTGCAGAAAGTTCGAGGTTGCAGGAAATGACCCTCGAAGAAATATTGGAAGCTCAAAAAAATATGCAGTTTGACATGGAGTATCGCTTAAGGTCCGTTGATTCGGAAGCTTCTAAAGATCAGCAAGAAGATGATCTTGATCTCACATGGACGCCAAAGAAGCGAATGCGCTCTTCACGAGTAAAATCTAAGCAATCAAGTCTCATTAATAAGAGAATTCGTACTCGATCCCAACCAAAAATATTTGCTCCAAAATACGAACCAGAAGAAGAGGAATCCGATCATTGGGATTCTCAGAGTCGCCAATCCACAAGTGAGACAAGCAATTTGGATTGGCGTGAGTTATACCTTAGACGTAGCACCCGTCAAGCTGGGCGCAAAGGAAGATCACGTCTTCGATTTGATGAAGATACTTCAATTGATCTTAACGAACTGAAAACTCGCTACAGACCCGGTGCAAGGATCGAAGCACGTGATGCGTTTAAAGAATGGCATTCAGGCAGAGTAATCGAGGCTAAAGGATATAGAATATTAATTCATTATGATAATTATTCGCCTATTTATGATGAGTGGATTGATATAAATAGTCAGCGGTTGCGTGGTGGATACGATGACGGTGATTCAACTGCGGATAGTGACGAGTTAGAATCCTTATTGTCAGCATCCAATCGCATTAAAAGGGTCAAAAAATCAACTAATCTTAATGAAGATCTTACAAAAGGTATTGAATATGTTGTAGATGGTAAAGTTTACAGTGAGAATGACGGAAAGGGCAATTGGTTTATTTATTGCAATCAATGTAATGTTATCATAAAACAATACAGGTAATTAAACTTATTGTTAAACTAACCTTTCCAATAAATATTCTTAATAATTTGTCTTTCTATTATTTAGATATTATTGCACATATTGTGAATTACCATCGGAAGGAAATGATTATCAGAGCTTCGAACTTTGTATATGGTAAATTTTCTATTAATTGCAATTCTCCAAATTCAAAAAAATGCGAATAAATTGTTCTCTCGATACAGGTGTTTCGCGCACTGCTTCCCTGAGGACCATCAGCATCCTCGATGTTCTTTTGCCATGCAATCAGTTCTCGATGGTGAAGCGCCAACTGTAAGTTCAAAAGGCGAACTAATTTCGACGTTCGAGAAAGATGAATTCGATATGTCATACAAAGATGATAACAGCAAAATTCTAAATGAATTTATACCTCCTGAAAGTGATATGGGATATTTGTACTTGAAAGCTTGGAATTCGCGGAAAATATGTGGCTTTTGTAATGATGATAATGATCAACATCTAGAAGGGTTTATTGAACCTTATCCTTTTGTCTCTCGTGCATCCACACGTCACGGTGAAAGGAAAAGAACATTTTGGGCACATTATGCATGTGCGAAATATTCACCCGAAGTGTTACAGACTAAAGACAATGATTGGTATAATGTGACAATAGCTTGGAGGCGAGGAAGGAGCATGGTAATAAATAACATTTAATCATAATAATTTATTTTTTTATCATACATTACGAAATTTAACTGTGAGAATTATATAAAGAAATGCGGAAAATGCAAAGAACGTGGAGCGACAATGGGATGCTTCAAACCAAAGTGTAATCGTAGTTTTCATTTATCATGTACTGGAAAACCACTTTCCCACTTTGAAATGGGCGTTATTTTTTATTGCCCGACGCATGAAGCTAATTATAACAAAATCGGTATGTACGAATGCAAGATTTTAATCAACTTTTTAAAGCATTCTAAATTTCCCTATTGATTTCACGTAGAAATCTATAATGAATCATTCAAATGTGATGCCTGTTCATGTGAGCTACAAGAAAATTGGTGGACATGCGAACCTTGTGGTGGCAAATATTTTACCACGTTTGATTTGTGCATAAAAGTAATTATCAATATATTTAATGTATTAATATTTCATGCGCCCTGAGCTTATATTCTAATCACTTACTTTACAAATTACTCTTGTAAAGTGTTTCGAGGAAAATTTTCCTGAAAGCCACGAGCACTCTAAAGATGATTTCGTGGAAACGTGTAAGCATGTTATTGATCGATTAAAGAGGTTTTCTCTTTTTTTGATCTAAAAATATAATTACATTTTTTTTTCTTAGCCTTACAAAAAATAAAAGAGCAAGAAAATTTACAAAAAGAAGCGCTTGCTTTGGAAGTTCAAAAGCCGCCAACTGAATCTGGTAACAAAAACACCGTAATTTTTATATTATTTATCATTAACTAACCATTCTATTGAATATGAAATATATATGAATGATTAATTCATTAATTAATTAGTATCTCGGAAAAGGTCAAAAAACCCGATGAAAAAGAATGGAACACAAGCTCAATGTTCATATTGTTGGTCAGAAGAATCAACACGTTGGCGTAAAGGTAAAATTAATGTCATTGTAACCAAAAATTTTTGCCACATACAAAAAATTAACTGTTTCAAAATATAATTTTACTCACAAATCAATCGTAGGTTATAATGGTGTTCTAATGTGCGAAGACTGCTTTGAATTAGCATTAGTAAATAATCCAACAGATGAATCTCAGTTTGGGCAAGAAAAATATGCTGCATCAATTGAAGACTACACGCACACACCTTATTTAACAAGAACATCAGTGTCAGCAACCAAATTCGACAGTTCACAATCTCAAGCGCTCTATTTAGACAGTTATGAACCGGCAGAGAATCAATTATTCTCTTTGCCATTCGATAGTTCATATTTCGATATTCCAGGCCGTGCCCCGCGCTGTAAATACAATTTTCAATACTAGAATATTTTGCACAAGTTTGATAATTAAACCAAAATTTAATTCTCTATCAAAAAAGGGGCTACTCATAGTGGCACTGATTATCACGGAACATGGCTACCACAAACTGTTCGCAGGTAGGAAGAAACGATTTCCTTATAAAAATTAAAGTATGATAATTCGTAAATATTAATCTATCTAAATCTTTATCAAAAGGGCTGTGCTTCGTTATACCAAAAAGAATGAAAGAATCTTATCTAATTTCTTAGGAAGAGGTTTGTATACACCATTGTATAATTATTTTTGATCATAGACTACTGATATTAATTTCAAAATTTTTAGGCACAGACGCAATAGAATGTTTCTTGCTGTCTCGAAGGTAAACAAATGCTGCACTTCATGCGCTTTCGAGTACATTAATATAATTATTTAATTTATTGATTCTTAATTAGGAGCGTAGGAGTTGACATTAACCCAGTAAGTAATTACGTTATAATTTTGCGTAAAAGATTGAGCGAAGTTTTTTCGAATTTTTTTATATTTTCATTACAGGCCGCTGTTGCTTTATCGCAACGTAACTGCTCTTTTGCAATTCCTCCGGGTCGTGGAATTACCGCCGAACATCGCCCCATAATATTGCAGGCTGATTCGAGACAACTCTCCGGAAGATTATTTGAAGCTCAATCATTTGATCATGTGTTAAGTCATCCTCCTTATAAAAATTGGTAAGTCGATTGCTTCTTTAAATTATGAAATGACCACAGTACGTTTTAATTTCTAAAAATAACTTACCATTTCGCATCAGTGTTGAATATTCTACTCATATCGATGGAGATTTATCGCGATTTGCTAGTTCTGAAGAATTTAACATGGAAATGACTAAAGTAATTGAAGAATCTTGGAGGTATTCGAGTTCTAACTTAATTTGTCATGCACGTTTTTTTTGTTTTTTATCATAAACTAATATCAATGAAACACCTCTGCAGACTACTGAAATTTGCAAAGAGAGTTACATTAGGGATCGGAGATAATCGCGAGCAATGTTTCTACGTTCCAGTTAGTTTTCAGTTGATTCGTCAATATATAGATCATGGATTTGAACTTGAGGAGCTGGTAAGAAAAACTGATATTTATTACTTACTTTGGTAATCCCTACTTACCAGATTATCATGAAAACTTCACACAATATGCAGGTAGTGAAAAGGCAACGATATTGTCAAGCCTTTGGATTAGGCACATATTTATGTGTCCAATATGATTTTCTGATGTTTACACATGAGTTTATTGCAACTATGAAGAAAGTAGATCCTGCCAATAATGACAAACTAATATCAACACCAGGTATTTTACTTCTTTTATTATCAAGTTATTCTTTTGATAACATTTATATCTAATATTTTCCTTTATTATTTAGAATACTTATCAATTAAGAATAACGTATCGTTCACACGTACTTTACGTGAAATACCTGTTTTACCGATCGCTAGAAAAAGCGTAGTAATGGGCACAACATGGACTTTTAAACCGTCTACCAAACATGACTTCGTACTATTATGTACTTCGAGAATGGTAAGTGTATTTAAATATGACTCCCTAATCATAAAGAATATAGTATTTTACGTCTTAACCGGGTTATAATATTTTTAGGTCGAAAGATTTGGTCGAGATTTAGCAAATTGGGAAGAAATTAAATTAAAATTTAAAGACAGAGAGGTATTAGATTTCATATTTCATATTTTTCTAGCAATACTTTTTACTCTTATTGATTCCCAATTGCTTCCTAATAGGAAGTAAGTTATAATCAAGAAGATACAACAGACATGAATAGTAACAGTGGTAAATATCATCTAACGATTAATTTTTTCTGTTGCTCTGCACGTTTTCTTGTTTCTGATACATAATCCTAATTAATCAGAAAATAGTCAAAGCGATTCGGATGATATGCCAGAATATGAAAAAATTAGACAAAAAAGAATTCAAGAAAATCAGAAAATGCTCCTGACATTGGTAAGAGCAAACGTGAACAATTTATCTTATTTCGCGTATTAATAAACCTTTTGTTACAATTACAAGGGTCTTATTTCTGACCTAAGTGAGTCATCAGACGATATCTCGCATGTCGAAAAACTTTTATCAAACAAGCCTTTATCTCCACCAACACCGACAGCCCTTGTCGTAATTCCCCACATTCCGAACAATGTGCTCAACGCAAAAGATATTCCAGCCTACCGGGCTGCAATTATGCATCTTGCCCGGGAAGCACATTCTTTTCTTCCACCTTCGGGATTTTTGATCGTTGGTGCACAAGATATCAGAGCACCAGACGGGAAGCTATGGCCATTGAGCATGCTTTTTATGGAAGATATCAATCGTGTGGTTGGTCAAGATGTGATGCCATTAAAGGAATTAGTGATTACGGTGCCTGAAGGTTATGCGAAGGATCGAAGAAAAATTTGTTCGTATGAAGAATTTGTTGATGAACAATGCGTTTCAGATGAACAAGATTGTGATTTAGAGCATTTGACTATAGTTCATGTAAGTGTCGAATCTAATGGTTGACGGTATTTGTGCTGAGATTATTCTGACGAAATTTTCTCCTTGTACTTTTTAGGCATGCTATCTAATATTTATGAAACTTCGATGACCATTTTATATTTGTTGCAAAGCGTAAAATTTCTTTAACTCAGGCTTTAGTGTAAATAATTTCAAAAAATAACTAATTTTCACAATACGTCAGTTGAAAAATCACTAAAATGCGAATCAATTTAAATGTTACTTAACGCACATAATAAAATAAAATCATCAAACAATCATAAAAATCAAACTAATATACAGTGTACAACTTAGTTTCAACTAAACTTGATAAAATTCAAATCACTACTACTTCTCAAAAAATAGACACCAAATTTAATCTCAAATGATAAAGCTATTTGAACAAGATCATGTTTTCAAAATAGTTTTTAGTAAAACAATAGTAATTCAAAGTTAGATAATTGAAATTATGTGTTGTGAGCAGCAAAAATGAGCTCGAAAATCTTTTTTTAACAAAAATAAATATGTTTATACTTTCAAGAATAATTTATAAATTAAATAATTATAACTTTATAATTAAAATAAGAGCTCAAATAATAATTATAATTTTACAATTAAAACAAGAAATTATAAATATATTAAAATGATTTTGCAATTAAAAAAATGTTATTAACTATTTACTAGCTAACAAATAATTAAAAGAAGTAAAATTAAAATATAGTTAAATTCCTTTATAGTTACACTCATTTATAGTCACATTTCTTTATAGTTATTCTGTTTTGCTTTTTCATTTACATATAAATGTAATAAAAAAACTCCTTTATAGTCACATTCCCTCTATAGACATCAAATTTTGCTTTCCCAAGAGTGATAATTATAGAGATTTAACTATATATTTATATTTATAAATAAATTATTATTTGTAAACTCATTAATCAACTTATAAAATAAAATAATTATTAAAAAATTATAAAAATAATTGTTAAAAAATTAATTATTTAATAAAATATAAAAATATAATTATTTAAATAAAAATATATAAATATGAAAAATAATAATTTATAATATATATTTTAAAGTATTTAATAATTTTTCTTTTATTAATCTCTAATTATTATTATTAAATAATTTGAATTTATCTAATCTAAATACAAAATTTATATCTATTATTAAATTAAATTTGTATTTATATATGATAATTAACAAAATTATGAAATTATACATGTAATTTTATTAATAAAATATAATAAAAATAAAAATTTTTGTTTTATATAAAATTTTTCAATTTTATTAATAAATATTTTTATTTTTATATTAAAATAAAGATTATAATATATATTTTTCTGGATTTTTTAGATTTTATCTAATAAAATTGTTTAATTGAAAAGTTATTATAAAAATTTTTATAATTAAAATATAAAATTAATTATAAAAAATTTTATAATAACTTTTCAATTTAATTAAAACAACTTTATCAGATAAAATCTAAAAAATACAAAAAAATATATATTATAATCTTTATTTTAATATAAAAATAAAAAATAATTATTAATAAAATTAAAAAATTTATATAAACAAAAATTTTAATTTTTACTATATTTTATTAATAGAATTATATATATAATTCCATAATTTTATTAGTTATTATATAGTATAAAAACTCTTAAATCGACAATATATTTCAATTTTAAAATGTTATTACTCAATATAGAGACAAAATTTTCAAAATTTGACTGGTAACTTTGTTTTTATAATAAGTTCTACAAAGTTACTAATCAGATTTTTGAAAATTTTATCTTTATATTAAGTAGTAAGATTTTAAAATTAAAACATATTGTCAATTATTTTATTATATATATTTACTTTTATAAAATTATAAATATATAGTGACTAATAAAATTATAAACTTATATATAATTTTATTAATAAAAATTAAAATTTTTGTTTTATATAAAAGTTTTCAATTTTATTAATAAATATTTTTATTTTAACATATATTTTCTGAATTTTTTATATTTTAATTATAAAAATTTTTGTAATTAAAACAACTTTATCAAATTATATCTAGAAAAATCCAGAAAAATATATATTAAAATATAAATTATAATCTAAAAATATTTATTAATAAAATTGAAAACTTTTATATAAAACAAAAATTTCAATTTTAATAATATTGCATGTGTGATTCCATAATTTGTTAGTCATTATATATTAAATATAAATTATAATTTTATTTTGATATAAAATAAAAACTTTTATCAATAAAATTTAGAATTTTTAATTTACTAATTAATTTAATATTTTTATTTTTAAATAGTATCATATCAAATTTAAAGAGTTATATTAGTTTTGCAATTCAAATTAAAAATGAAAAATGAATCATCATATTTTTTATATTAATAAATAAAAATCAATTGATTTGATATGGTTTTTATTAAATTAATTTTAATATTTCAATTTTAATAAAAATTATACTAGTTCTAAAAGAAATACGTTGCATATTATTAAATTAAAAAAAGAGTTTTTATATCTAATAAATATTTTCAATTAATAATAAATACCAATTTATATATAAAATTTTGAAATATATATTTATTTAAAAATACATAGTAATTCCCGTTAAATCAAAGAAAAATGTGGTCGGTTTAATTGTATCGGTATGTGATGGATGTTTTTATTACAAAAATTAGATATTGTTTAATTAGGTTATTACAAGTACGTTTATTTATTGTAAAAAAATGATTAAACCAATAATATAATCTGTATTTGAATCGAAAAAGCTTCATACAAAACTTTATTTTAACCGTATTAAATAGATTTTGTTCTCGTAATTTTTACATTTTAATACTTGATATTTTTGGTATGAATTTAATATATTTCAGAAATGAAGATAATTTCAGCGCAATCATTCTGAAAGAGCCACTTTATTCTTGAAATATTATGACGATTAGTGTTAGTTGGTGTTTTTGTAAGATTGATTTCATGTTTTTGATTTCAATGACCTTCACTCTAAAAAAAGCTTGAGAATGAAGTCGGCTCCGAAATTTACCGAACCGAGATTATTGGTAACAGTTCGGTAATTACCGACCGAAATTTCATTTCGCGAATATAAATGGATAAAAACTGTCGCATTTGTTCAAGACCGATACCGAAACCGACATTACCGATACCGATCGGTAATTGTTCGATCCATTCGGTTCGAATAATCTCGACGGATCGGTTTTACCGATCGGTTTTTACCGAACCGTCTGGAGCCATACTTTTGACCTTAAAAGCAACTAGTGCATTTGTTGCTTTTTGACTTAAATCTTGATCACTACAATGATCCGGAAAAATTACACGCTTTTTGGCACCCTTAGAGCAAGTCACCTTTTGCATAACAAAAAATCGGGACGATTGCCAGATATCTTTTTTTTCGAAGTGTCCAATTAAAATTAATCGATTTATCTAAATTTTTCAATTAATCAAACTTTATTTGTTGAAACGATAAACAAATAATGCCATACAAATAAACAATAAAAAAATTTTATTAATCTTCTACTAGATCCTTGAAAATAATTGAATCAAAAGCAAAGTTCGAGGTAGTGTTAATTCGAATTTACATCTTGTTTAATCTATCAATTGACATTTATTGTTAATTAGATAATCGTAATGATTTAGGAACAGCATCAACAACAATTTGATGATGCATCACAATTAAAATCATCTATGAATAGTATTAGTTGTAGTGATAGAAGAAGTACTTGGACAAATAAAGGAATTTTCATGTTAAAGATCAATTGCGAATTAGCACAACTAAGGAAATGAATAACAATAGAAACCGTAAAACAATGTTAACTAAAAATACAATCACGCAATTTAAATCAGAAAGAAATCGGCGTGAATTGAAAAGGTTTGATTTTATTGTCAAGGACTTTTTATGGTGCCAAAAAATCGTGTACAGTAATATTAATTGTTCATTCATTGAATGTAGATTAAGAAATGCGATTAATTCACGAAAATCTTTTCTTACACAGAAAAAAAGGATACGCAAGAGAAAGAAATTACTTGAAGAGAATTTGATGTACGTTAATCATGAGAAATTTTTCGGGACTTAAAGACAACAAATAACTTATTCTTGGCAAACATAGATTGGTGTATGAAGCTACCACCGCAGGCGCATGCGATCTTATCAGATCATTACGCATCACTCATCATTATTTTATAAATGTTTCATCGTCTGGTGTTCCTGACTATATTACAACATTGAATCGAGCAGAAGAAGAACGTTTGTAATCTCTATAATGACATAGCTTATAACCCTTGATACCATCGTGTATTTGATTTCACATCTCATTGCGTAAATTAGTAAAAAAAGCGATGGAACATATACAAAAATTAGGTGATCAAATGGAAGAATTAAATCGCCAAAGAAACGAAATTATTATGCATAACAACGATGACGATGATCTCAATTACGGAAATGGAAAAGAGAATGCGAAAGGTATTTTGTGAATCACCACACCTGTGATCCTGTTTGTTAATTATCTCACCATCACGAAATTTATTATACTGATTCAATTAGTCGACATCATCTGTAATAATGGCATTCAGAATGACGATATGAAAAGAGATATGGAAATTGACGATAACAGCAGCAGGTTAACAACTCATTAAATATGTTGATCTCTTTATTGTATTTTGTCTAACGCCCCTACGTAGAAATTCATCAACTTTCTTCTATATCAATTAAATAAAAGCTCGTTCAATCTAGATCCAAACGCTGATTTAGAATCTCTAAGGATTCAATATGACGACACCGAATCAAAACTTGATGAATATTACATGGAAATAGATCAAAGAGATAGGTTTATAATTTAATCCATCGTAATGCATAACTTTTAACAATAGTCATCATGCTAACGACAATAAATATATTCTATTTATTTTTAATACAAAGTTATCTTGACGATTTGATCTTGAATAAGGTTATGCAATGTATTCAGAAGAAACCTTGCACTCCATCAATAATCCTGTCACAGAAACCAACAAGAGAATTTCGTCCACGTGCATCAACTTTTCCAACCCTTTCACCGATTCCTGAAGAAGATGAGGAATCGTTGATAATAGAATGATCGATTATATGTACTTTGATATGCTTCCTCCATTCTTTATTTGTAACAATGCTCACGTGATTGTTCGTACCACAAATTACTCTAAAAAACCTACAGCTGAGAATTTTTTTTTCGCTAATGATTTCTTCCCATTCAATGGAAGTATGATGAATGGCTCCCTGATGATAATTAGTCTCCTCCGCTCTTATAAAGGGTGTTGTAGGGATGAAAGTTGAAATTGTGTGCTTGGCCACCCACCTTGTTACGTATTAAGCACACTTTAATGCCAAACTGACCAAAAGAAACAATTCACATGTGAATGTTTCTTTTTGAATGGGAAGTTATAAAGTCATTTTATTTAGGTTTACTTGGTATCTAAATTTTTTATTATTTATTTTTTATCTTAGAAAACAACTATTTGCAATGTTGCATTTATTTATTTTTAATATTTCCCGTTCTCCCATGTTCCTATCATTATCGATTTTTCTTGCAATATCAAAACAAAAATAGAGAAGTGGATAATGTGGGATATAAGATGCGTAATTAAACACTTGTCTTTTTACCTAATCCCAAGAGTTCCGGCTTCGAATATTGGGTAAGGACTTTTGAGTATCTCGCAGAACTTTGTTGAAAAAAACCTAATTTCATTATCAAGTGTGGAAATGGAATATACGTGCTTTTATAGTGGCGTCCGATTCGAGGATTGTGCATAACTCTTGAGGACAGTTTTAGTGAATTCCCATAGAGTCTTTAACAAATCATCTCCGAGCGTATAAAGATCAAGATGAAATTCACCTACAAATAAACAAAATGTTATATATGTGTGAAACTTTCGACAATTGGAATTATATGCATTTACCTTCAATCTCGTCATTAATATACATATCGCTCGTCTTCTGTGATTTCACGATCTCAATCACCCTAAGAATATCATCACCTTCTAATGCGTATAAATTTTCAGCTAACTTTTCATAATTCACCTATGATATTTTTATGTAAAGTTCAATATATTTTAATATACATATATATTGCGAATATACGTATATGATGATGATGCATGGAATTTGTTCCCATACTTTAAAGTAAATCTCTTTGTCGTTATTAAATGTAATAGCACGTGATGATTCCGGTGACGATTTGGCTGATGATTTCGGTGATGATTTTTGAGATGACTCAGGCCAAGACTTTGGCGAAGAAATAGATGAAGATGCCGTACGATCCGGTGACTCGGGTGACACGGGATTTTCTGTCAGGGGAGAATAAATATCTCGAGATTTTATGGATTCTTGATGATTTTTCTGACCATTATTGTTATTTTCTTCCGATTGACCATAATTTTCGGATTTGCTGCGTTTTTTTGACGTCGTAAGTGCAGTTCTAGTTCTTTTGGTGCGTCCATTTTTTGTCTTTGATAATTCGAGTTGTTGTGACTCGGGAAATAATAAATTCTTGAATGGTGGTTTAAGATCAATAAAAGTCTAATAATATATGATTCATTAGTCAATTAGTAAATAAGTAATATTTCATAAATCCAAAATTTTGACATAGATTATAAAATAAAATTCACCAGCATGTGCGGCACCTCATAATGATTGTGTTTGAAATTGAGATCGTGTTCTAAGGTCTTTGGTGGAACACTTTTATCGGTGAAATGCAAAACAATTTGCATATCAAACTCACCCCATCCCTTTTCTGAAAGTGTGAACGGTGGTTTTTTGAAGACTAACCCCGATATAACACAGAGACACAAGAAATGCGGATTATATCCAAAAATTAACGATTACTAAGTATATATAAAAATATAGAATATATAGAAAAAAATGAAACTCACTCCGAATAGGATTCGCAAAAGTATGATGTAAATGATACTCGACTTTTTCAACGAAATTTATCTGGGACTTTTGTCCCAGGTCGTCAACTGCAAACAGGGACACCTTCCAACTTCTAACAAGATAACCTTCTTCCATTCTGGCATTCTTGAGCACATCCTATATTAATACGTGGTAGATTATGTATTAGGTATCTTCAGTATATTAGCGTTAGTGGTTCTTTACAAACGTGAAATGACTACCTGGTCAGTGCAGACCTTGATTTCCTTTTCGATAATTTCCTAGTGAATCGAACGTAACCCATGAGTAGAAATGATATTTTTCTCAAAAGTAAAGGAAAACTTACACGCACAAAACGGGATTCGAACCTTTTCTGTCATTTCTATTATCGTTAAAGTCAGAGTTAATCTATTCTCCTTACCAAAAAAAGTACGTTATAATGATCGTCATTATGTATCCAATCAACGATTATACTTTATACACCTATTGGTGATGTTGGCAGAACTCTAATATAATCATGAACTCGAATACTGCTGCTACGACGAGTTCTGCAAGCCTCGCGTTTACGTTCGAAGCAGAGAATTTTCGTAAAATTCAGCCAAAAGAATTTATAAAAAAATTTCTTGAACAGAATGTTCGACCTGACGGAAGAGTTTTTCGTCAATTTCGAAAAACCACAGTAAATTCTGGTATTAATATTTAAAATAAAATATTTGCATGAAAATCTGTCATTTATGCTTGTCATATTCATATAGGGCACATTTCAACAGCGGATGGCTCTGCAGTAGTTCGAATAGGAAATACTACTGTCGTTTGTGGAATTAAAGCAGAAGTTGCCGAGCCAAAGACGAGTACACCAAAAGAAGGCTACCTTGGTGACTTTTCTTTCATGAAATTTGCCTTTTTTCGCTCCTTTTTCTCCACGTATAAAAAATGAACGCGTCATATTAATGTCTAATAAGGCAATTGACAGTTCCAAACATCGAGCTTTCGCCAATTTGTTCTTCAAAAGTCAAACCAGGACCTCCAAGTGAACATGCACAAGTTATGAGCGAGAATTTAAACAAGTTATTAAAGAGGTTAGTGTCTATTTTGGAAATTGAGATTAAAATTAGATGATCCATTAATTGTGGATTTTTTTTTAGTTCTTCGGTAATATCTTTAAAAGATTTATGTATTGAGGAGGGTAAAGCTGTTTGGGTTTTATATGCTGATATAATTTGCATTAATTACGATGGCAATGTATTTGACGCGTCAGTTATCGCAATTATTGCAGCGCTTAATAATTGTAAGTATTTTGTAAATTAGTCACCTTAATTTGTTTCAATTTCGTAATTTAACTTTCGATGTTATAGTGCGACTTCGTAAAGTTGAATATAATGAAGGTTTAGTGACAGCCACTGAGACGCGTCCTATCAAGTTGAACCTTTCTAGACTCCCACTTTCTTCCACTTTTGCATTATTTGATGGGTAAATTAATGGAGTTTTATTGTTTATTTACATAACGATAATATTAACCTAATCTATAATATATTAGGCTATATCTATTAGCAGATCCCAGTGATGCAGAAGAATCTGTTATGGAAGAGATGGTTACAGTCGTCTGTGACGAAACGGGTAAATTATGCAATATTTGGAAAAGGGGTGGACCTTCTTGTTCACCCGATCAAATTATCACTTGCGTGTCTTTGGCTCGTGAACGATATACCACAATATACGATACTGTACTACGATAAATAAAATTTTTGCGAATGATAGATTCATGATTTTTTCTTTTTCAAATATCAATCAAATTCACAATATGATAAACACATCTGGTTGATACTGCTAATTAATGATGACTCATATGGCAGATCTGTAGATTTTATTTGATTCATGAGAGATCCAGAGATTCACATCGCGATGTCTACCACGAAACTTTTTTGTCGAAGCCATTACTTGGCTAAAAAACATAATAAACCTTTGAAAATTGATTATTTACAATCGAAAAATGTGCACTATTACTCGAGAAATGATGATCTTGTTGCTGGTCAGTACACTATTCAAATACTGTTTTCCTTTTTTTCACATTTTATTTTAATTATTTCATGGTCTTGTTTGACACGAAAAAGAATGATTATAGACTCTACTACTCTCTTTGCCAAATACAATAATATCAAGGTCAAAACAACAGGCGTCTCTTTCGTCCAGCACTTAACAATCTCAATTCTTCCTCAAGAATTCCCAATCGCATACCCATAACGAATTCTCCAATAGCACAGAAATGGCAACCACCACAATCACCATCATCACCATCATTATTATTACATTTTCATAATCCCAACTATTTGATACGAATTGCCATTCAATCGCAATGCTTGCATACAACTCGTACGCGTAGTCCGTTATATTTACCCAGAGAATTACGTATTTTTGGCAGCAAGGTAAACTACTCAAACAATAAAGTCGTTGCTGAAGTTGCGGATCAAGATGCTATGAAACACAAAGCAGTTCAATTCGAGTCTGAAGAAGCAAAGATGAATGAGAGAACTGCGACCAGTGTGGCTAGAAAGAAACCAATATTAACGCGAATTAAAGATGAACTCGTACATTATTGGGATGGAACAAAGCTGCTGGGATTGGAAATCAGAATCTCTACTAAACTTTTGTTTAAACTTTTGCGAGGACAAACATTAACTCGTCGTGAAGATCGTCAGGTATAATTAATACTTGTCTCGTCTGATAATCAACTTCTCTAATAAAAGTAGAATTTAATAATTGTAGCTTCGAAGAACGACGCAAGATTTAGTTCGTCTTGTCCCGTTTGCTGTATTCATCATAGTACCATTCATGGAATTCTTGCTTCCTGTTGCCCTAAAACTGTTTCCCAATATGTTGCCTAGTACCTTCGAGGATAAGTTTTCAAAGGTAGGATCTTTGCACTAAATATTATTATCAGATGATACAATCATTAAGTGTTAATAATTATCACAGGAGGAAAAAAAGAGAAAAATTTTAAAGGTTCGTCTCGAGATGGCCAAATTTTTGCAAGAGACAATCGAAGAGATCGGTGCGTCTGGATCAGGTCGTGAAGAGGCTGCTAAAGAATTTTCAGAGTTCTTTCGAAAGGTAATGTTTAGATAATTTAAGATGACATAGCATTCGCACTAAAATTTCGGGTCCAAGATTCGTGTGAACGATTTTTACTACAATTATGATTGGTGTATAATACTCACAGGATATCAAATTTGCTTTTGATATACAAAAGCTTTAAACTGTTTGTGATCTTGTTTTCTTTTCTCAAAAATGTTTTCTTTTGTTCTCTTAAAAATAGTTTTTATACTACAAGAATCGACCAATCACAATTTTAGTAAATTCTGTTCGATGGGCTTACTGACCTTGTGACTTGTAATAACATCACCCCGAAATTTTGGTGCGTTATAATGTATCAAAGAAAATTATGTGTATTGTTTCCTTTTGTTCTTATCCAACATTATTATTATCATTCGACAGGTCAGATCAACTGGAGAACAAGCCTCCACTGAAGATCTTCTTCGAATAGCAAACCTTTTTGAGGACGAATTGACATTAGATAATTTATCTCGACCTCAACTGGTCAGCATGTGTCGATATATGGGTATTAATGCGTTTGGGACCGATAACTTTCTCAGATATCAAATTCGTAACAGTATGAAAAGCATCAAAGAAGATGATAAAGTAAGTTTAATATGTGATTTTGTTTTAGTAGATATAAAGTGTCTTTTGAATTCTAACGATTTCTGTTTAAAGATGATTCGTGCTGAAGGCATAGATTCTCTGACCATTCCCGAACTTCACGCTGCATCTCAGTCACGTGGAATCAGAACAATCGGTGTTTCTCCTGCACGACTACGCAACGAATTGAACCAATGGTTGGATTTGCATTTGAATCACAAAGTGCCGTCGTCACTTTTAATCTTGTCACGAGCATTTAGTTTCGCAGATAGATCCGAATTGGTTGATCAAGCTCAAGCATTGCAAGCAACATTAGACAGTTTGCCGGATAATCTGGTAATTAATACTCGAATTATTTAACAGAAATTATTTGATTAGACTTTCAACTAACAATTGTATAGGTAAACGAAGCAGAATTAGAGGTCTCCGAGGCATCTGCTACATATAAACAGAAACTAGAAGTTATTGAGCAACAAGAAGAATTAATTGCTGATGAAAAGGCTCAAGAAGAGGTCAATACAATTATGTTTACACGATTGATGATTTAATTTACCTTACTTAACTATCAGATTTTCATACACAGAAAGAAGAGGCTGCAAGAAGGGCCCACAAAGAGCAAATAGAGGCAGAAAGAAGAGCCCAAAAAGAGGCCGAAGAACTAGCAAAAGAAGCCACATTCGCCGAAGATCTTGCACCAAATAAAAAAATTACTTTTGTATGTACGCTTCTTACTTTACTCGGTTTTCTGAGTGAAATTTCTTTCTCTATAATGGTTACTAATACTTTTGTTTTTTATTCTAAATCATTATAAAAGGTTGCTGAGGATGATGCTCGAATGACACAGCAACAACTTCAAGAACTTCGTGAGGCACTCACGATATTATCGTCAAAATCAGCAGTATTGGAGGAACGCGAAGTATTAAAAGAAATCAGGGATGATCACGAAGAATACAAAGAGGTTAATATTTCAAACATCACAAATATTGCATCCAATAATCTAACAATCGATATCTTTTGAAAATATTTTCGATATAAATAATAGGATATGCATATCGAGGCTGGTGGTAAAGAATCAAAAGCCTCACTTCGTCTAGGCGAACGCCTCGAAAAGATGATCCAAAAAATCGATTCTGAACTGGAGCAATACGATAGCGAAGTTGGCTCAAGACTTAATCTTATCCAAGCAAATGAAAGCGGACAAATTACCGTTTCTGCATTAGAAGAAGCATTACGTGTCATCAAACACACGCCAGGTGATAATGAACGTATTAAAAAGATTGTAAAGAAATTGGATGTTGATAGCGATGGATTAGTATTCCTGGATCATATATCCGAGTTGTGTGTCAAAGGAGAAGGAATGGGGGTTTTGGTGGAAAGTGAAAAGGAAAAGACCGAAAAGACTACAGCGAAGAAGAAACCGAAAAAAGAAGATATTTTAAGGGAGGATTAAGAAAATTATTTAGATATCTGTGAAGAAAATTCATTATACTATATAGAAAATTTAGATTGTGATTTCCTTATTTGTTCTGGATTTTGTTGTTGGCCTTGACGAATCTGTTTTGTAGTTTAACCTAAAAAATAAATTATATGGTATAAACCATCTGCAAAGATAACCAAATTTACACGTCATCATTTTTAGATGGATTTTTAAGAGGGATTGCTTATTTTCGAGTCCTTCACAAAAATGTAAATCTCTTGGCAACAAGTTGTCCAAATTGAGCATGTTATAGTTCGTTAAATTTATCTTAGTGAGATGAATACCATTTTGAGCTTTTATGTATGAAAGTATTTCAAAATGGTAATAGTGACTGTGTTCACAGCAATTTACTTTGAATTATGACTAAATAATGTTTTCAATAAGATAAAAAATGACAAAACTAAATCTAAAACAAGACTAAACTAAAAGAAAACCTAATCAAAAATTACTAACTTCAAAAATAAATTAAACTAACATAACTAAACTAAACAAACTTTATTAATCCAAGAGAACTTAAATCAAACTTTTTAGAACTTAAACTCAAATTGAAGAACTAAAAATTAAACTGAAAGAACTTGAATTTTATTAATTACTAACACTTGTATTTATATATATTTTTGTGTGATAATAACACAATGTGATGAAATTATTGGTTCTTTTCTAATTATATGAAAAGTTAATTATATCATAATTAATAATTTTGTTCTATATTAAAATATTATTACATTTATTTTAAATAATTTCTTAATTAATGAATTTTTTAAAAATAATAAAAAATATGAAAATCTCTTTAAAAATAATAACAAACTAATAAATCAACAAAAATAATTTATATACATTAGTTATTTAGTAATTATATAATTATTATTTATTATCTCTTATTTTAATAATTATCAATTTGAAATATTTTTTTCTATATTTTCTACTCTTTTTACCTTTTTTACCTTTTCTATCTTTTTTATTTTTTCTATCTTTTTTTCTTTTTCTATAATAATATCAAGAAATTTTTATATCTGATTATAATCAATTATTATTCAATAATTAATTATCATCGATTATTAATAATCAATTATAATCAATTGCAATCAGATATAATCAATGATTATTAAAATTGAATATAATCAATTTTTTGTTTAGAATCAGTAAACATCTATAATTAATGATTATTGATTTTAATTAATTAATTATAATTGATTATAAATGATTATTCTGCCAATTAATTTATTTTTTATAAACACATGTACAATATTAGAAAGCTTTCAAAATTTAATTTTTGATATTAATTCAATGGATATTTCAAGTAATATTTTATATTATTAATATTTTATTAATATAATTATAATTGAACAAATAAATAAAAAAATTATTGCATGAAAAAATACATTTAAAAGATCTGCTGTTCTAATTTGATGATCACTAAATCTATTTTGACTTTTTTTTATGTTTTTGATAACAACATCTTGATTTTTTATTGTTCTTTTTTGTTTCTCAAATATTACTTTTATTTCTTTTATTTCTTCCATTATTTTTTTCACTCCTTCTTTTATTTCTTTTATTGATGATTTATCCAATTTTTGAATTGGTAACTGAAAATATCATAACATATATCTATTATATCTGTAAGCAATAAATTATGATTTGATGAATCTGTTTTGTCTATAGCATGTAATAAATAATTATTGGGAATTGAGATTATAAAGATTCCCAACATATTGCTCTTTCTGTGTCTTGACATTATCCCTTCAAAGATATCAATATCACTGGTGTCAACTTTTGTCATTAAATAATTTTTGCACTAAACTAAAAGCGTATAATCTTTATAATTTTCAAATATATTCACACTATCATTTTCACCTGATATTCTATATAATAAGTATGAAAGATTTTATAAATAAATGTTATTATTATCATTAAGATAAATATTTCAGAGTCAAATGTGAGTTATTTATTTATGTATCTTATTCATCACAACTTCTGTTCGAAGCTTTTGGATGATAAAATAAAAAAGAAGAATATTTACAGATGTAATTACTCAACTAATAACCTCTTACAGTGTTCACAATGTGCTTCCAGCTCTTTGCTATTATATCATTCTAGTAATAACATAACTTTAGATGCATAGCAACTAAACAATTACTTGTGAAATAAATAAATATCTCATCGTACTCTGTGATATTCAATTTTTATTCCTCTCAATGCTTTTAAAACTAAGATCTTGAACTCATTTTCTTTAGCAACAGATAAGGTAGTTATAGTTAGAATTATTAATAGATTAATAGTGATAGTATTATCATTTTAATATGACTTTAGATTTTGTCACGAGAATACATGTGATAAAGTCAGATGGGAGAGTTAACGTATTAAATAACTTAAAGTTAGAAAAGTTTACTAAGTTATCTAAAAGTAGGTAATATATATTTATTTTGTTGGTCAGCTAGAATGAGATCAGAAAGATTCAAAGGTAACTATATTTTTTATAATTTAATTTATAATAAGTTGAGCATTCTTAAAGTTTGGTTTATAAACAAGTAAGATGTAATTTTCTTTTATTAATTCAATACTATTATTGACTTCACAATATAAATAAAAAGTCAAATACAAGAATATATAAGATAATATAACTTTGCAATAGTGATGAGAGGTTATTGTTACAGTTGTAACATAAAAATCGTTAATTCCAAAAATAGTCAAAAAACATAAAATATTTAAAAATATTCATATAATAGCAAAAACCCCTCAAATTATTTTCCCTTTTATGATTATTTTTCCATTT